GCCGTCTCCTGTTAGAACATAGAAAGATTCCAGACCTGGGAGAGACCCTGGGATCCCTGGTGAGCCCTTGGTTGGGATGGTTGAGTAGTAAGAAGGAAGACACAATAGCGAGGTCCTCAATACCTGTTCATTCAGCCAAATAAACAAATGAGTGAGCGAATGAAGGAGCGAGCAGAAATGAACTCCCTCTCACTTTAAGAGCCTCGCAGAAACCTTGATACTAAAATAGAATGACAGAGAATGCTATAGACCCATCTCACTTATGAATATGTATGCAGAATTCTAAATAAAATTCTAGTCAACCAAGTTCAACAGTACATTCAAAGAATCACCCAATATGACCAAATAGGGTTTAATCCTATTAAGAAAACTGCCCCTGCAGTTTGAGGATAAACCCTCTTCCTATTAAGAAAACAATGGCTGTTAGTGTGCAAATATAAAGTATTATAACCATTTTGGAAAGCAATGTAACATTATTTATTAGGGCTAAATACATAATATGCCCTTTGAGCCAGGTACCCTATTCCTGGGAATCCATCCCACAGAACTAAAAGCAGTACATGAGGACACATGTACACATTTTATTGTTTGCAGTATTGTATGTATTGGTGAAAAAGTGGAGACAAAGTTAATGCCCATCAGTAGAGGAAGAGTTGGGTACATGATGGTGTGTCTGTTCTGTAGACTCTTACATGTGACCTCTAGAGAGTGAATTAGAGCGATGCCAGATGATTTTCAGAAGATATTATTGAGTGATGAAAGTAAGGCACGTAATAGGATACATAATATTCTACTTGGCCAACCCCAGCCTCCACGAAAAAAAGAGAAAAAGGCAGAGTAAAACAAGTAGAACAACAAAACCTATGAAAACAAACAACTCCCTGTGTTTGTAGATTTACTCGTTGAATGGGTGATCATAAGACAGGTTGTGAAGATGAAAGAAGTGATTCTATGTAAATTGCCTGGTACAAAGAAAGTACCTAATAACTATTAGCCCCGGTGGTGTAGTGGGTGATGTACTGAGTTTCTAACCACAAGATCAGCAGCTGCTCAGTGGAAGAAAAGGGAGGCTGACTGCTCCCATGAAGGCAAGTCTGCTCTGTCTTACAGGGCTGCTGTGAGTCAACTCGATCTCAGGGTTTTGTTAGGTGCCATCGACTCTGCTCCGACCCACGGCAACCCCGCGAACAACAGAATGAAGCACTGCCATCCTCACAAGTCTTCCTCTGCCAGAGTCCGCTGGTTCAGCCATGGTGTCTGTCTGTCTCCTTGCGGGTCTTCCTCCTTTTTGCTGCCCCTCTACTTTATCAAGCATGTCCAAAGTATGTAAGACGAAGTTTCTCTATCCTTGCCTCTCAGGAGCACTCTGGACATACTTCTTACAAGACAGATGGGTTTGTCCTTCTAGTAGTCTATGGTACTTTTAATATTCTTTATCAGCACCACAATTCAAATGCACCAATTCGTCTTTGGTCATCCTCATTCAATGTCTAGCTTACGCATGTACATGAGGCAATTGAAAATACCACAGCTTGGGTCAGATGCACCTTAGTCCTCAAAGTAACATCCTTATTTTTCAATACTCTATGGCAGTAGGCATTATATTTGTAGCATATGCAGAATTAAAAGAATTAGATGGCTAACCTGGCTAGGTTAAATGCCATGAGAGAGAGACTGATGTGATGGAGGCAGGAAGGTCTAAGGAGAAAAGGAGGGGGAAAAAGTACATTCGACATTTTCCTATTGATTTGAAATGATGACTCGTAGGGATATGTATAAAGAATTCAAATCAAGAGAATGTTAAAAGAAAAAAACCATGAATAAGAATTTATAGATCCAATGAAAAACAATAGTGTGAAATAATATACTCCAAAAGGGCCCTTAAAATGTTATCTTTCCTCAAGTCTAAGTCTAAGAAAGTTTTCAAAATGCCTATTTATAGATAGAAAGGTTAAATATTTCAGCACCAGCCGTCATCAACTCTGATGGGAAAATAGTAGGGCAGGCTGACGCAGAATGTGTTTTTCGGGAATGCAAATTTCAACAGCGGGTTCCATATTCCAATAAGTTGGGGACATGCTGCTTATAACAAGTGGCCCCACCCCCAAGACTCAGTGACGTGAACAGGGCAAAGGCCTGAGAAGGCCCGTTCATCCTTCTGACTTCTAGTAACATTTCTCCTTGACAGAGGACCCTTTCCTGGCTTCTTTCTGTCCCACCCCCACCCCCCTTCTCTGTCACATTCTCTAGTTCAGGCGTCTACAGCCCGTGGGCCACATGCGGCCAGTTGAGGACATTTATCCGGCCCACCAGGTGTTTTTGCCCCATTTGTTTTTTTACTTCAAAATAAGAAATGTGCATTGTGCATAGGAATTTGTTCATAGTTTTTTTTTTTTTTAACTATAGTCCGGCCCTCCAACGGGTCTGAGGGACAGTGAAGTGGCCCCCTGTTTAAAAAGTTTGAGGACCCCTGCGGTCTAGTTCCCAAGGGGCATTCTCCTCTGTCCTAGAGGGTCACCATGCGCTGGAATGGACTCCATGACAGTGAAGTGGTTGTTTTTTTTTTTTAATTAAGAGAACTCCATTAATTCCGTAACAGCTACAGAAGATTTTCTGGCTGTTTTCATCGACCTTGGGCCCTTCGATTCCTTCAATTTAATCAGCTTTCCCTCCTAAACGCTTTCTTCTTGAGGAAATGTTCCGACGTGTGTCCTTAAAAAAAACACAAACCCAAACAACATAAAAACAGGAAACCAACCAACCAAACCCTTGTAGCCGCTGCAGCCGAGTCCTGATGCGGAGTGATCGCGGCCCGCGGAGGGCTTCTTCCCGGGCAGCAGTCACGGTGGCGTTGTGCACCTTGTCTTCTCACCCCTGCAAAAGGGAGGCTGCCATTCTTGCATCTCGGCCTTCCTGGAAGTGTGGTGGGCGCCGCACAACGCACTGTTATGAAGGAATGAACTGGACGTTGGCAGGACAGGCTACCAGGGCCCAAAGGCCACTTTTCTTTCTCCTGGTTTAACTCTTACCCGACAAGGCGTGCAGCCCAACCGCTAGTGTTTATCTGTCTTCTTTGGTGCTTTGTATTAAGAACTGTTTAAACCTGCCCCCGCCCCTCCCCCCTTTCTTCTTTTTTGGTGGGTAGGATTGTCAGGAGAGGTTTTCAGAGTTAGAAGAATTCTTTCTTACTTTTCCCTCTTTCATATGATCAGGAAATAACTGGGCTAAGCCTGTAGGCTTGAGCAGAGCTCTGGAACAGATGAGCTATAAGCTGATTCCTAATCACTTGGGCCGGATTCCTGGGTTGTGTTGTGGCGATCACAGTTACAGTCCCATTTTCTGATTGCTGGCCTCTCGACAAGGAGCCATCATCCACATAGTCGGCAGTTTGAAACCACCAGGCTCGCTGTGGGTGAAAGATGGGGCTTTCTACGCCTATCCACAGCGACAGTCTTGAAAACTCACAGGGGGGCGGGGCTGTCGCTGCGAGTCGGCATTGACTGGATGGCAGTGAGCTTGCGTTAGGTTTGGGCTTCTCTACCAGCCAGCACTCAATGTCAGTCTCTGAGTCAGTTCCCAACTCATCCGTCTCCTTCTTCTTCCAGGTCCTCATGAACATGGAAGACATCAAAACCCGGGAAATGCAGATTTTTGACTACAGGAAACAAATCGCCGAATCAGAGACGAAATTAAAACAGCAGCAGAACCTGTATGAGGCTGTGAGATCAGACCGGAATCTGTACAGCAAAAACCTGGTGGAGGCTCAGGTAAAGGGCAGTGCGGGTGCCTTTCCATTGCTGGCCTTCCCACCCTGGCCTTGACACCGTCTCAGCTGCCCTGTGGGCAGAATTGAAAACAGATCAAGAAGGAAATGCCTTGGAATTCACCTGCAGGAGAGACGGTCAGTGTATGTCAAACTGCCAGGTTGTTTGAAAAGGAGAGGACTTGCTAAGATGCTGGAGACCAGGTCCCGTTGTTAACGGCGGTGTAGAACGATTACCTAAGTGGCTGGTGGAGTGGCCAGCGTGGCTGGTGGAGTGGCCGACCCGCTGCGCTGCTAACCTCCAGGTCAGCAGCAGGAGAAAGAGGGGGCTTTCTGCTCCCGTAAAGAACGACAGCCTTGGAAACCCGCAGGGGCAGCTCTCCCCTACCCTGGCCTGTCGGGTCCCCAGGAGTCCAGAGTTGACTCAGTGGCAGTGAGGAAGAGGAGTGGTTCAAACTGCTGATGTCAGCGGGCAGTGACACACGCTGGTCGCTAAATGGCGGCGCTTGGCTTCACAGGCTTTTTGGTTGTCATGCTTGCTGCGCTCTCTCTTCTAGTCTTGTCAAGTGAGGCTTGAAACGCCTGTGTGTGCGATGTACATGAAGTGTACTTAGTATGGATCTCATGGGAACATTTCGAGAGCCTAACGCTGACTCTGAGATGCATGGGCACAAGCTCTAGAGCAGCGGTTCTCAACCTGTGGGTCGCGACCCCTTTGGGGGTCGAACCACCCTTTCACAGGGGTCGCCCGACTCATAACAGTAGCGGTATGACAGTGATGAAGTAGCAACGAAAATAATTTTATGGTTGGGGGGTCAGCACAACATGCGGAACTGTCTTAAAGGGTCACACAGCATGAGGAAGGTTGAGAACCACTGCATCTAGAGGAATAGCCTACTTTTAAATGGTCAAGAGACCGTTGTTTTGAGGGTCTCCCTCGAATAACTCTGGAAGATGGATGGACCGTCCATCGGAACGGCGATGCCCTCCCACTATCTCGCTTCTTCTTTTGTTAGGATGAAATCACTGAGATGAAGAGGAAGTTAAAGATTATGACCCACCAGGTGGACCAGTTAAAAGAAGAAATATCAGCCAAAGAGTCAGCACTTGTGAAGCTGCATCTGGAGCAGCAGCGGATAGAGAAGGAGAAGGAAACCCTAAAGGTACCGATCCGGTAATCAGAGCACTGGGCCCATCTTCTCTTGGACCCACTCGAGGCACTCAAGGACAAGGGGGACCATCAAGCGTGCCCATGGCCGCTGTTGATGGTTCCCTAAGGCCGCCTCCAAAAGGCATCAGGAAGGAGAGCTTACCATCTCCAGTCAGGCCTCCTAACAGGTAGTGGTCCCAATAGGATGGGCAGGGCCCAGAGGCGTGGGGGCCCTTGATAGGCACAAGCACCTCGTTTAGTTATTTGGGCTAGCATCACACCAGTGGAAGAGACCAGCCCGCCAATGCCAGAAAGTCCTTGAATCTGTAGGCTCCTTTTGCATTCCCAGCCCAAGCCCAACCCCGTGTCCATGACTGGGCCTTCTAGAAGGTGATGCTGGCAAGGCCCTCTGCCCTTCTGCTCATAAGCATTTTTGTCTGTTTTTTGTTTTTTGGGTATGCACATAGCTTTTCTGCCGGCAACATCATTCTCTGCAGATGTCCTTGAAATCCTTGTCTGCACCGGGGTTGCCCTTGGTCAGGCTCTTGACTCTCTTTTATTTTAGGGGCCTAAGAACTTTGTAGCAGTCACTCCTCCTTGGACCACCTCTCACATCTACTAAGTTAGAACAGTCGATGTCTGCCAACGCAGTGTGAGGATGCTCTTCAAGAAATGTGGCGCCAAAGAATTGCATGATTGGAAATCCTCTAACTGAATACGTTTTTGCTATGCACATCACTGTACCTAAAGTCTGTCTCTTTTCCTGTCCCACCCCAGGGATTTCCCTTCGGATTAATCTGACCAAAGAATTTAGAAAGGAACGGCTAAGCGAATGGTGCTATTCTTATTTTGAAACATGTTATGTCTATGCAGAAGACTTAGAATGAGTATGAGCTGCTTGTAGGAACTACTTACAACAAGGTGAAGACAGTATTTTGGCCTCTACACCGATTAGCTTCCAAAGACATATCCCGTCTTGAGGATGTGTCTCTGGTGGTGGACAGGTCTAATGTCCTATTTCCTTGATGCTGAAATTTCAGAGACTGGAATATGCACTTTCCACTGAATGATAGGTTTTGTCATGTTGATAATAAGTTCTCATGGAAAGACAACTACTAGCTTCAATGAACTTAAGGCCCGTCTTTGAACACGCGCCTTGGGAAAACAATATAAGCGCTGAGGCACTTGCCTCTCTGAGCCTTCCTTCTCTCCACTGGTGGTTAGCCTGGAAAAGACCAGAAAATGCTGCCTCCAGAGCTGTTTGTCTGTAAGAAACGGGCACGCGTTTTCTCTGCTTTGGAAAGACTCGGTGTCTCTTTTTTCCTTCCTTCCTTTCATTTTCCTTATTCAAAAGCATACCTTTTATAAGAGGCAGTTTGTTCCACCTTGGAGCCCAGAGCAGGTGGGGGCTTATCTATCACTGGGTGAACCCAAAGAGCATTCACAGCTTTACGCGTGTGCCTCAGGGACCTGTGTTCTCAAGGGTTGAGTGCAATGCCCTTGGGGAATAGCTAGTACGTCAATGGTTTTCATTTAGAGAATGACCTTGATCCTGATCACTTACTTTCCCAAGAAGCTCTGTATTCCAAAGGGCGATTATTGCCCTTTAATGAGGTCCAAGGTGCAACTAACTGTCTTCTCTGAGATCTTGCTTCAGAGCATGCCATGGATGCCCTGTGCATAGCTACATGATTTTTTAATTCCTTAGAGCTTGACTTTGGTGAATGTGTGTTTTAATTGGATCATTACAATTCTTTTAAGATTATTATACCCCAGCATTATCAAACAGTTACACTCGTAACTTTCCAAAATTGGCTGATCATTGGAATCACCCAAGGATCCGGTGAAGACAGATCGTTAGGCTCCTCCCCGATTCTGATTAATGAGCTTGCAAATAGAGTCCTGGGATCTGTATTTTCCCTGGGTGAGTCCCTTGACCAGCTGAGTTTGGAACATAAGATCTGCACAGATAGCTCCAAGGAAATATTTCAATAAAATATAATAAAGGACAGTTGGGTTCTATTATTTATTCGGTCTTAGGTCAGCAGAGTTGGCAGTTGGTGGACTTGATGATCTTCTCTTCTGGAGAGGCAACTCCAAGTGGGGAATCCCAGGTCTGACTGGCTTTGGATGACCATTTGCTTTGAACAGACTGTGAAACTAAGATTCCTCCCAGAGTTTCCCATTAATGTCAGAGTGAGGAACAGAGACTGGCTGCCTGCTTGATTTATTATTCCAGGTTATCCAAGAGTGACTGGCCATGCTGCTCCGACCGGATAATTTTAGCCTATCAGTAAGCCCCTTTGGACATTCCGTAGAGGAATATGACAGCTCAATGTCCAGTTTGAGCCTCTTGACTCTTTTAGCCTAGGATTTGGAATCATGTTACACTCAGCTCTCTGGATTCATATACATCTGAAGTTTGGGGACATGGGCAGATTTTCTAGGAATTTGGCTGCAAGAGAAGTTTAGCTTGTAATTGGGAGTTCTGCAGAGCTCAGTGGGTGCAGATTTTCTCGTGGAAGGGCCAGCCCTTGCCTGCTTGCTAGACCGTGAGATGTCCTTTGGCAGGACAACCCAATTTGTCACTTCTCAAAGCAGACAGATGAACAGTCAGTCATCCGCCGCAGCTTCTCCACCTCCTCATTCATCTCCACCCCCCCAGAACAGAACCTTGCTCCTTCCACATTTCGCTTCCCCCTTCAGCTCCTCCCTGACTCCGCAGAATTCTGGACGTTGTCCACACATTTAGGGGACGGCAGGATGTCAATAGTCCTCTGTGCACGTCGCTGTAATGAAGTTCATCTGTCCCACTCTGTCCCAGTCCTGTTCCACTAGAGAACCATCTCATTTGGAGTGTGTGCCTTCCAGCCCTAACAAGCCCCGTTGCTGTCTGCTCACCTCCCAATCATCCCACAGCCATCTGACAGCACTTTGATTCTCGGTGAATAATTCAGCGGCAAATTCTCTATGTCCAGAGCTCAGCATTACATTAGCCACTGGCTCCAGGGCACCTTCTCTTTTCACTTAGTGGACTCTCTGGGATGGCATGGCTGGGGAGTTCTTGAGTGCGCGTGTACACACACACACACACACACACACACACACACACACACACACACAGTGAGAGGATGGGCTGGGAAAATTCAGTTGGCCCTATTTGTTTAGCTAGACGTAAATAAGATGGGTACTGGGAAACCCAGTGAGTCTTGGGATCATGAATGAATGGTGAAATTCCCACAAGTATGATTCTTGTGATGCTATTTATGCCTCACAGCGAAATTAGATGATCTATCTTCCATAAACAGCCCATCCCCAAAGCACCTAATTGGGGAGGCGGTGACGAAAGGGTCTCTATTGTCATCTCATTACGGCTTTATCCCACCAGTAACACTTTGATGGATGCCGACACCTCAGGTCCCACCCACCTAGAACACCACTTGATGGGCCTTTGGGTGCCCATCTTTCCTGAGCAAGACAGCTCAGCTGTATAACTGCTAACTGCATCAGACCCAAGGTGTTTTGTTGATGCCAACATTGGCTGCCAGTGTCTAATGCCACATCTTGTTTGCAGCCCATACATTTATGACAGGAGGAGACCACTCAGAAACCCGACCCGGCAATGTTGAACGCACAGATGGCTTTCCATTCCAGACAGATCCTTTTACACGTCGCTGATTGCATTTTAATACAACAGGGCTTTATTTTGTTCTGTTGATAGATTCCGATCAGCTCCCGGCACTTAGGAGCAGGGAAGTGAATGTTGCACATCTGGGAAAATAAAAGTTTTATTAAAGAAAGCATGAGCCAAGCAGGTATTAAATTGCTGTCTCTGCTGTCATCTTAAATGATCACAGGAACAGAAAGGTTGCCTC